AGACCAGATCAGCCAGCTCCTCCACTGTAATATCTGAGCGAGTCTTCGCTGCGTGAACCATTTATTGCACCAGCGAAAGCCCCTGAGCAGATGTGGACGACCCCCCGGGGGGCCCCGGAGCATGGGGCCCCACGAGGGGAGAGCGATCACACACTGGCTCTGGTGGGGAAGGCAAGGGAGGCGGTGGTAATAGAGGCACTGGGGGCAAAGCAGGGGGAGGGATGGTTGCAGGAGCAGATGGGGGTGGCGGGATCGGCAGCCCCTCTGTTGGTGCGGGAGAGGGCCTTTCTGAGGCGACATGCTGTGTTGCATCGCCAGGAGGGGGGATGGCTGCAGGAGCGGACGGGAGTGGCGAGAGCACCAGCACCGCGAGGGAGGGCCTGTCCGAGGCGACACGCTGTAGTGCGTCGCGGCAGAGGTGCCAGGCATGTAAAGCCTGCACAGGCGCCCGAGGCTCTTTGTGCAATGTCTGGCCCAACCGCTCCCAGTCCGCTAGCTTAAGGGTTCCAGCTTCAGGGTACCACGGGCATTGGGCACTCACCTCCTGTAGCAGGAGAGTGAGTTCTCGAGTGGGGCAGTCATGCTGAGCCTTACACAGCAAATACTGTAGCTCACTGTGGTGTTGCACTTGCAAAGCAGAGAGGGAGCTTCCCATACTTACCACAATGAAAAATACTCACCGGGATCCGCGAAGCGGATGAGTGACGCATCTGAAACCCTTGCCGGGCGAGGTGAGTGCTGAGGGCCCCACGTTTGGGCACCAGTTGTGGCGGTTCAAATACAAGACAGCACAGAGCTTTTAGCAAGCAAGCGAGCTGGTCTGCCAACCGACTTCTGCCTGTCAGCTTTCCACTCTCTCCTTTATTCTTTTCTCTCCCCTCGCGCATTACATTCTCCAACAGATAAAAGAAATACACTGGCTTTGTTTAACATTCTTATTTACCAATTTCTATCTACCGCACTCCTTACTCTCGGGCCTTGAGCCCAGTCCTGGGCGGCTTCCCACGGTTCATGTCATCTGGGCAAGATTCCAATGTTCATGCCCTTGAGAGGAGCCATGTGTGCACAGCTCCTATACAACACTCCAGGTGTGCCCTGAATGTTGCCAAGCGCATGAACCTCATATGAATCCTACAGGGAATCATATTGCAGGAGTGACCAGGACAGCTTTTTCCAGGTTGTGACCCTACCGCCTCCCGGTATGTGCATCTTGCTGTTCTCACTCTTGCACTCCAGGATTACGTCATTACAATGGGGACATGCCTTAAATCAGTGGTTCTCAACCAGGGGTCCAGGTCCCCCTGGGGGGGGCACGAGCAGGTTTCAGGGGGTCCACCAAGCAGGCCTGGCATTAGACTTGCTGAGGCCCAGGGCAGAAAGCCAGCGCCCCACAGCATGGAACTGAAGACCAGGGACCCGAGTCCCGCCACCCTGGGCTGAAGCCAAAGCTGAGCAATTTAGCTTTGCAGCGCCCCCTGTGGTGTGGGACCCCTGGCAATTGCCCTGCTTGCCACCCCCTTAATGCTGGCCCTGGCTTTTATATGTAGAAATACAGTTGATGTGGCACAGGTAGGCCATGGAGTTTTTAATAGCATGGGGGGGGGGGATGGGCGGGGGAGCCCCTGCCTTAAATCAATCAAAATGCTGAACCGGGGCAGCCTGGTGAGCTGCTCCCCATCAGCACTTGATATCAGGGCTCCAGCATCTGCCTGCCTGGGGAGTTCCAGGTGGAGTTTAAGGTTCTTACTCAGGGCCTGCCTTTCTGAGAGGCCTCTCTCCTGTCCTGTGACACTGCTGCAGGTCTGCTGATATGCCCTTGGTACAGAAGTGTAGCTGGTAGAAGATATTTGGGAAGGGCTGAGATCTGCGGGGGGGTTGGCTGGAGGTTTGGATTTGTAACAAGACCAGGGTTTGGTGGGAAATTTCGTTTTTGTGAACTGGCTTCTCTTGTGCAGAGAGCTGTTGATTTACTGCTGGGTGGCAGTGTCTTGGATGCATTGCATTGGTAACTATTGGGTTTTAGGCCTTCTATTACTTTTTATTGGGTGAAGTAAAAAATAAATACATCTACTTTGTAATTACCAAAGCAGAGCAGTTCAAACCAACAGCGGGTCCCACACCACGGCTAAGGTGTTTATTGGGATTCTCCCATGCAAGAACAACACCAGGGGTCAGCGTTAATTGCATGTGGCACAGAGACAAACACACACTGATTCCAAAAGGGGCTATGCTTTCAACCTTGTCAGTGTCAGTGAGGGACGGTGTTTTAGTCTAGTGTTTAAGATGCTCTTTAGCTACAGCTGAGGAACTCAGTGGGGTAGTCACCAGCTTTTCTCTGGCAAATGTACAGGTGTGTACAAACGGGGGTTGGAGGGGGCCTGACCCTTCAAAGCATTACACACAGGAGCAATCCTTGCTCACCACAGACAGTGGAGCAACCCCTGTGTTTTTGGGCCCCAGCCTCACTTGCTCCCCAGCAGAATGAATGAAGCCTTGGCACAGGCACTGTTGCCACAAAAACCCAGGCGCATCTTAGGGTCCTGCCCCAATGAGCTTGGGAGCTAAGCTCTGTGTCCCCAGAGAGCAGTGTTGTCTGCACTCAAAGCCAGCCTAGCCAGTTCAGTCACTCGGGGGACAGCAAGCCCAGGCGATCCTGGGGGGAGGTGCTCTGTCACCCTGAACTCATGGAGGAGACTTCCCCTGGGGTGGGAAGGGGCCTGCACCAAAGGTGGCCTGGGGACAAAGCAGTCATTTAGCTGGTGAGATTGCCTTCCAAAGGCCAGCAAAGCCCTGCTTATGCAGCTCCACCTCTGCCTCCTTCCCAGCCCCCTGCCTTTCTCGCCTGGCGGGTCACTTTAAGAGCAGGTGGCCTGCAGAGAATCAGTGTCAAAGAACTTCCCACCTCCCCCGCCCCTCGGACAGGCTGCCGTCTAAAAATAACCCCTCTGGTCTCCAGCCAGGCAGTCCCTAAGCTGTGCCCCTCCTGAGTGCTGAGCTCCCACGGCTGGGAATCTGGCTGCCTCCCGTCCTCCCCAAGCCACCCAAGCGCCACTGATCAAACAGGCCAGTCGATCGATTGGCTGGACAGAGTCATTTCAGGGGCAGCTGAGAGGTAAGCTGGGGCTGCTAGTACTGGCCTGTGCTAGCGTGGAAAGGTGCTGGATGGAGGGCACAGCATACAGTGAGGGCACAGCGCTGGCTGGCGTCTAGGCTCACAGTACTGCACATGGAGAGAAGCCCCAGTTAATAACAGCTCCTCTTCAGTGCAGGGAGCCTTCCAAAGTGGCCCCCAAACTGCTGCTCTCACCTTGCGGCACCAGGGGAGTCACTCTTCAGCCCTTCCAACCAACCCTTCTCTCCAGAGTGTGTCAGGAATGGTGGTGCAGGCTTCAGAGCCCCCCCATCTGTGGGGCCCCTGGTAAATTTGGGTAGCCTGAAACTAGAGCATGCTCCCTCACGGTTGCCATGTGCTCTCTGCAGGGAAATGTCTCTGGAGGAACGTGCAAACGCTTAGTGGGATTTGAAGCTATAACAAGGCTAGAGGGAGAGAGGAGGTAAACAGGTGATTCTGGGAGGAGGAGATCATGTTAGGCCAGATCCTCTGATGGTGAAAATTGGGGTAGCAGCATTGTAGTCAATGGCCAGTGGCAGCGGACTGGACTGAGTGTCAGGAAAGTCTTCCTGGTTTTGCTACAGACTGATTGTGGGACCCTGGGCTAGTCATTGCACCTTTTTGTGCCCCTATTTCCTCTGTCTGGGTAGACTGGCAGCGCTTCATGGTAGGACTGTCTCTTCCTATGTGTCCATATCACTTTCATGCCCACTGGTTGTTTTATTATCGTAGCACATGGGAGCCACAGTCATGGGCCAGGCATCCAGCATGCCAGGCGCTGCACAAACACAGAACAAACCATCCCTGTGATGTAAGGCTATGTTTACACCTAAAACTTAGGCTGACCTCGCTCCAGCTTAGCGCTGTGATGAATTCCACACCTGGTGCGACAGAGGTAGGGTGACTTCACCCCTGTTGTAGATTCAGCTAGGTGGATGGAATAATTCTTACTTTACCCAGCACACGGGGAACTGCCAGACAGCTCCCCCCTCAGCTCCTCTCTCCAGAGCACGTTGGAAGGATTCTTTCCTTGACCTAGCTACTGCCTCTCGGAGAGGTGGACTAACGCCAACAATGGAAAACCCTCTTCTGTTAATGTAGGAAGCATCTACATTATGGTGCTACAACGTCAGGGCTGCGGTGCCATCACTGTGTTGCTGTAGTTTAGAGTTTGGAAAGTTTAGACATACCCTTAATATAAAATGAGTGACAGCGGATGCATACAGACAGACAAATGTGGTGGAGGGAATACAAGGAAACAATGAGGCTATCAGTCAGCACGCTTGGAGGCAGTCTCAGCACACCAGCAGCCTAAACCCTGTCAGGGTTCGTGTAAGCTTCATAGCAAAGGAGAGGTTTAAGGAGGGTTTTGGAGGAGGAAAATGGGCTAGTTTTGCAGCTGTTTATTGGGAGGGGGCAGCCTGGGGGAAAAGCCACACAGGCCACTGAAAATATGTTTCATTCAATCAGATTCTCTCCTCCTTCTAAGAGGAGCTAGAAATTGGTTCCCAACAGGAGACAGTCAGTGATGTCAGGGGCTGCAGGATAGAGGCACTTAGTCCAGCAAGGGGAAGTGCTCTGGGGTACACCTATGAGCCTGGAACCTCTGGAGACATGTGCTTTGTGGAGGGACGTGAGGGAGATGAGGGCATTGACACACAAGTCACGGAAGCACTCGTCATCAATCCTGCTTGTGCCTATAAGTTTTTTGGGAGAATCAGCCTTTATGAACACCCATTGGTGCTGGGAGGAGAGAGTTGCTACTGACCTTCCTTTTCAGGGCAACCAGCCAATTATTCATTCCCCTCTTTCATTGCTTATTAAGCAGGGTGGAGTTTCCATGTTAGAGCCCCCAAAAAAGGAGTGGGATTTACCAGAGGACAGCACCATGGTGAGGAACGTTGATGACTTCGATTTCTCCCTCCCATCCCACCCCCAGGCCATCTTGGAAGGCCTGCGGAGCCTGCGCTCCAATCCGAAGCTCTCCGACATCACGCTGCTTGTGGGTGGGCATGAGTTCCCCTGCCACCGTGGCATCCTGGCCCTCTGCAGCCACTACTTCAATGCCATGTTCACTGGCGACTTTATTGAGAGCATCTCAGCCCGTGTGGAGATCAAAGAGGTGGATCCTGTTGTCATGGAGACTCTGATCGACTTTGCTTACACAGGAAAGATCACCATCAACCAGGGGAACGTGGAGGCGCTAATCCGGACCTCCAACCAGCTCCATTTCTCCACCATACGGAAAGTCTGCAGCCGCTACCTGAGACAGCAGATGGATGCAACCAACTGCCTGGGCATCTGTGCGTTTGGGGAGAACCATGGCTGCCCAGAGGTGTCCTCAAAGGCCTGGGCTTTCCTGCAGGAGAATTTTGAGGCTGTATCACACCAGGAGGAGTTTCTCCAGCTATCCAAGGAGAGGCTTGTAATCTACTTGTCCAATGACCTGCTGCAGGTACAGGAAGAACAGAGCCTAGCTGAAGCTGTGCTTAGGTGGGTGAGGTATGATGAAGCATCTAGAGCCAAGCACTTGCCGGAGCTCCTAGACCTGGTGCACTTGGTTTCACTCCCAGACCAGTACCTGCAGAACCTGCTCTCATTTGAGCCGCTGATCCAGGATTCTGAAGCTTGCAAGGCTGTCATCTCCAGATACCGAAGCACGGTCAGTGCTGTAAGGTATCAGAATGGCCCTGTATAGATGGAGCTTCTGTCCTGGAGGGAGGTTGCCAGGGGGAAAATGATCTGCATCAGTGTGCAACTAGATTCCTAGGTGTGAGAGTCCAAGTCAGACTACCTTTCCACTCTGATGGTGAATGTGGTTTAGAAGGTGCTATAGAAATGCTGAGGGAGATGCCCTAAAGGCCAGCAGAGGGAAGTGGGGCTTTTCCCAGAGCCAGCGAGGCACAGGAATCCAGTGCAGGCTCAGAGCCCCCTAAATCATCTCTGTAGCCAAGCCTCTTCCAGCTCAGTGCAGAAATCCACTGTAGGCTCTGTAGGAGCTTTACCCCAATCCATTCCCACTCAGTGACCACAGCCATTCCTAGCTTCCCTGCCTGGGAAGGGTCTACCAGTTATAGTCGCACTACTATAGCCCTCTTTGAGGACACTCCTAGTCCGGTAGATGAGTGGCCTTTTTTGGTTTAGTTTAACCTCCTGCCCAAGTTTAATGGGATAAAGGCTCCTCTTGTCCTAGAATGAGAGTGTCTGCCCAGGAATGGTGGGATAGGAGGAGCGTTGTACTAGGATAGGTTTCAGAGTAACACCTGTGTTAGTCTGTATTCGCAAAACGAAAAGGAGTACTTGTGGCACTTTAGAGACTAACTAATTTATTTGAGCATGAGCTTTCGTGAGCTACAGCTCACTTCATCGGATGCATCCGATGAAGTGAGCTGTAGCTGACGAAAGCGCATGCTCAGATAAATTGAGCAGTCTAAGGTGCCACAAGTACTCCTTTTCTTTTTGTACTAGGATAGCTATATCAGTTTAAATTTACCCTTAGCTTATACCAGAAACACTTTCCTGTCTAGCCAAAGCCTTCAAGGGACTATATTTAAAATGTGTAAATGGTGAACAGACAAATTGAGGTGACAAGTCAGGTCAAATAACCAAATGAAAACCTTCTCCCAACATTTGAGCTCACCCCTCCAGCTCCTGGAAGGCTGTCATAGTTTGTTAATTGTTTCTTCATTTTCACATGCATTAGCACTGCATTTTGGTAGAGCCTGGAGGCATAAAAACCACAGGAAAGACTTCTAAGGTGGATATTTCAAACCCAGCTGGAACCAGACCAGGCCAGAATGCTTCCACAGATACTGTGTGTTCACAAGATTCCCAGAAGACTGAATTAGTTGGGGTACCTTTGAACAAGCACAGAGATTCTTGGGTGCTAATCTGAACCAAACTAATGAGTCTGAGTTCTTGGAGAGGTGGAAAGTTGTTCCATAAATCCAAAAATCAATTTCCATAACACATTCATTCTTGGTTTATTCCAAACAATGGAACAGAGTGACCTCTACCTATTGCTTCACTTTTTGAAATACACCCCACTCACCACATCTCAGGATGCAGGTAAAAACAGCGAGAGCAATACTGATTTACACATAAGAATGGCCCTACTGTATCAGGCCAAAGTCTGTCTATCCCAGTATCCTGTTTTCTGACAGTGGCCAGTGCCAGGTGCCCCAGAGGGAATGAACAGAACAGGTAATCATCAAGTGATCCATTGCCTGTCGCTCATTCCCAGCTTCTGGCAAACAGAGGCTAGGGACACCATCCCTGCCCATCCTGGCTAATAGCTATTGATGGACCTATCCTCCATGAATTTATCTAGTTCTTTTTTGAACCCTGTTATGGTCTTGGCCTTCACAACATCCTCTGGCAAGGAGTTCCACAGGTTGACTGTGTGTTGTATGAAGAAATACTTCCTTTTATTTATTTTAAACCTGCTGCCTATTAATTTCATTTGGTGACCCCCTAGTTCTTGTGTTATGAGAAGTAGTAAACACTTCCTTATCTACTTTCTCTACACCAGTCATGATTTTATAGCCCTCAATCATATCTCCTTTTAGCCATCTCTTTTCCAAGCTGAAAAGTCCCAGTCTTATTAATCTCTCCTCATACGGAAACAGTTCCATACCCCTAATCAATTTTGTTGCCATTTTCTGAAACTTTTCCAATTCCAATATATCTTTTTTGAGATGGGATGACCACATCTGCACACAGTATTCATGGATTTACGTAGAGGCAACATGATATTTCCTGTCCTATTATCTATCCCTTTCTTAATTATTCCTGCTGAGGAGTTGGCCCACAGTCTTTGGTTCTTTTATCAAAAGGTAGAACTAGAACCTTCCTCCAAAGCAAATATCCACCTGGATCACCACAGGGAAATCTTGGATACTAGAGACAGACCTTGAATCCAGCTCTATTGATGATGCAGGGGAACAAATTTTAGCATTGAGGGCCCTCCACTGAGAGCCTGTGCATTCACTTAACCTGCACTGCCATACACAGAAAGGAAGGGAATGGCTCCTAGGACCCATGCCTTAGAGATCATGTTAGATTAAGGTGAACTGCTGCAATTGCACCTAACACAAATATTAGCTGCAAATAATATAATTCACCTTGGACAGCCACCACAAAACCTAGCTGGGTTTTTGTGCAGCCAAGGAAAGAAGTAGATCAGCTCTATTGCTGAAAGCCAAGAATCTGGTACCTGGACTTCATGTGAAGTGACTGATGCCATATATTAGTACCTTGCAGCTCAGTTGCATCCTCGAAGGCTTTTCAGGCTTACCACAGCAGTATTACTCACAGTATCTGCCTCCCTCAGTGGGGAAGAGTTCACGGTGGATAAAAATCAATGGAAAAAAAAACACCTATCTAAAGATAGTTTTAATTAAGATACTTTATAGCTCGAAAATATCTCAACATGGAATAGGGATTATAAATTCTATAGTATGTGACAATATGGCCGATGTTCGTATGGTGGGTCCTGCACTTTTCTTGGGGGCAAGGCTAAGATGCCACCCCTGGCCCCTGCTCTTGGGCCCCAAGGGCCCCGCTAGTGGCCTGGGAAGTGGGGGAGGGGTCTGGGTTTGCTCCTCGCTCTGAGTCCCAGCCCCTCTCAACCCCTGCAGGTTTCTTACCCTCTTCCCCCTTGGGTGGGGTTGCCCTCAGTCCCCTGCCCCTGTTCCTGTCCCCATTTCAGCCCCTGCTACTATCCTTAACCTTTATTCCTTTCCTTCTCCTGTTGCTGCCGCCCCCGGCCTTGCCTCATTTTCTTTTTACGAGGGCCCTGGGGAGGCTGTTTTTGTTTTCCCCCCCTCTCCTGGCCCATCCGGGGCTGCAGTTCTTCCTCCACCATTGTCCCTAGTGCTGAGGGCTGAGTCAGGTGGCGTGGCACCAGTGGGACAGGATGCACTGTCCTAGGGATCAGAGGAACAGCCGTGTTAGTCTGTATTCGCAAAAAGAAAAGGAGTACTTGTGGCACCTTAGAGACTAACCAATTTATTTGAGCATGAGCTTTCGTGAGCTACAGCTCACTTCATCAGATGTATACAAGTGAGCTGTAGCTCACGAAAGCTCATGCTCAAATAAATTGGTTAGTCTCTAAGGTGCCACAAGTACTCCTTTTCTTTTTGTCCTAGGGATGAGGGTTCCATGACCACCGCTCCCAAGAGAAGGAGGCAGGTGGTGGTGGTCGGGGACACTCCCCTCAGGGGGACTGAGTCATCTATCTGCTGCCCCGACCAGGAAAACCTGGAAGTCTGCTGCTTGCCAGGAGCTAGAATTCACGATGTGATGGAGAGACTCATCAAGCCCTCAGATCGCTACCCCTTCCTGCTTCTCCACATGGGCACCAATGATACTGCCAAGAATGACCTTGAGTGGATCACTGCAGACTACGTGGCTCGGGGAAGAAGGATAAAGGAGTTTGAGGTGCAAGTGGTGTTCTCGTCCATCCTCCCCATGGAAGGAAAAGGCCCAGGGAGAGACTGTCGAATCGTAGAAGTCAACGAATGGCTACGCAGGTGGTGTTGGAGAGAAGGCTTTGGATTCTTTGACCATGGGATGATGTTGCAAGAAGGAGGAGTGCTAGGGAGAGATGGGCTCCACCTAACGAAGAGAGGGAAGAGCATCTTTGCAAGCAGGCTGGGTAACCTAGTGAGGAGGGCTTTAAACTAGGTTCACCGGGGGAAGGAGACCAAAGCCCTGAGGTAAGTGGAGATGTGGGATACCAGTAGGAAGCACAAGCAGGAAAACACGAAAAGGGAGGGCTCCTGCCTCATACTGAGAAAGCAGGACAAACAGCAAGTTATCTCAAGTGCCTATACACAAATGCAAGAAGCCTGGGAAACAAGCAGGGAGAACTGGAAGTTCTGGCACAGTCAAGGAATTATGATGTGATTGGAATAACAGAGACTTGGTGGGATAGCTCACATGACTGGAGTACTGTCATGGATAGATATAAACTGTTCAAGAAGGACAGGCAGGGCAGAAAAGGTGGCAGAGTTAAATTGTAAGTAAGAGAGCAGTATGACTGCTCAGAGCTCTGGTATGAAACTGCAGAAAAACCTGAGTGTCTCTGGATTAAGTTTAGAAGCGTGAGCAACAAGGGTGATGTTGTGGTGGGAGTCTGCTATAGACCACCGGATCAGGCTTTCTTCCAGCAACTAACGGAAGTTACTAGATCGCAGGTCCTGGTTCTCATGGGAGACTTCAATCACCCTGATATCTGCTGGGAGAGCAATACAGCGGTGCACAGACAATCCAGGAAGTTTTTGGAAAGTGTAGGGGACAATTTCCTGGTGCAAGTGCTGGAGTAACCAACTAGGGGCAGAGCTGTTCTTGATCTGCTGCTCACAAACAGGGAAGAATTAGTAGGGGAAGCTAAAGTGGCCGGGAACCTGGGAGGCAGTGACCATGAGATGGTTGAGTTCAGGATCCTGACACAAGGAAGAAAGGAGAGCAGCAGAATATGGACCCTGGACTCAGAAAAGCAGACTTTGACTCCCTCAGAGAACTGATGGGCAGGATTCCCTGGGAGAATAAGATGAGGGGGAAAGGAGTCCAGGAGAGCTGACTGTATTTTAATGCATCCTTATTGAGGTTGCAGGAACAAACCATCCAGATGTGTAGAAAGAATAGTAAATATGGCAG